CACAATACTAGGTTGGCAGCAAGGTCACATTATTTTACAGTTGAAATGGCTAGATGAACTGTAAGTTCTATGTTAACAATCTCTTTTATCGCATCTCGATTGTGGAACTCTCTTCTGGCTTCTTGCTCCCGTCAACTTTGATCTTCAAAAAGTTAAATGCAATTTCAATCATTATCTTCTGTCTTCTTAATTCTTGTTCTTTTATTATCCTCTCTCCTTAATAGTATATTCTTTTCATATTCTCTAACACTCAGTAATTCCTTGTATCTTGGTGGCTTTATGCCTTGCTTGTGGTGAAATTAAGAAAAAAACAATCTCAAAATTAAAATATTTGTGTTGTCAATTTTAAAATTAAAAAGAAATGGATGCTATGCCTAAGATAATGAATTTGATCTCATTAGGTTGAACTGAATTCATCTTATGGATTAATAATTGAATTTACTGTTTTAACTGCAACCATTAAAGAGTCATTATGTTTAATGTTCAGTTATAATATGAAAGTTTGTGATATCTTTTGCATGGTTACCAAAATTGCCAATTATTCCATATTTTACAATCCATTGTAAAAAGATAATAATTTTCAGAAGAGATAAATTCGATCAGAACTTGTCTGCATAAATATTGAAGTTATTTTGAGTTTCATCAACACCATCCAAACAATAACTTTTAGTATATTTACTGAGATATTGTATATACAATAAACTTTTACAAAACTATACCAATAGTATCTCAAGATAAGTTTTTCCTTTTAAAATTTGATTTGAGAAAGAGGAATAGCTTTGTTTCAACTAAATGGATACTAATTTTATTAATATATCTTGGGTAAAATTCAATGTTGTAACCTAGGAAAAGGTTACTGAATAAGAATCACCAAAACCTCCAGAAGAATGGTAATATTTATAACAGGAACAACATACAAGATTTACCAGTGGTGTGTAGTAAGTAATCAACTGCTAGTGGTGAGCTAGAAGTGAATCAAGGTGAATCGCAAATGAAATCCCACAGTGAATCCAAATGACTACAACATACAGTATATTCTACTGTATTTATACAGATTGGGACATACCCATTGTAGTCCATAGGTACAATATAACAGCTAATATAAATTCAAAATCATTAGCTTTCTTTCTAGTAAAAAAAAAAGTTTAATGTTAGGAATTTACAAAGCTTAACTTAGTCTTGGACATGGCAACTATGTAATGTCTATCACTATCTACTGCCCTCCTGATTACTCTTTTTCACTTCCCACTCATAATTAATGTTTCTTTTCCTAATTCATTCACATCCTTAACCCCTTATGGCTTTACTACCTTGCATGGAGGTGATACTGGTTTAAAAAAAGAAAAAAACTAGTGTAGTGGTTTACAAAATGAACTTATTAACCCCTACTCCTCAGTGAGCTGGAGAGAAATTTTTAATAATAAATATATTATACATGTTGTATATTGGTTAATTCAGCAATTTCAACTGTTATTGAGAGTGAAAGAGAGAGATTTCTCTTCATTTGATATTCTATAATTAAAGACAACCAACAGAGTTTGATATCTATTGCCATTAAAACAAATTTACTCAAAGTAATTATAACACCTTGGTAAGTAATTTTAAAGTCTTTTCTTTTTCTTTATTTCATACATTACTACTGTTTTGAGTTATAAAATTCTTAGAAATATGAACCTAAACTAAAAAGTAATTTGTGTTGCATTGTCTGCAAATTCTGCTAAAAAGATTATGACCTCTCTTGAAATTCCTGGCTTTAGATATTCTTTTCCTTATTGGAGTGTACTTTCAAATTATCTTGCTTTATTTTTTATTGCAGCTTAAGTATAAATTTTATCTTTAATCAGTTTAATTAAAATCTATATGATAATTTTTAAAATGTGCTAGTAGTCGTAGTTGGCAGCTGCTTGTGTCCGAGCATTGGGATTATCATACTCTCTCTTTATTCCCTTTCTCTGGTGGCAGTGGCAGAGATGGCTGTGAAGGCTAAGCCTACTCCAGAAGAATCAGGAGCAGGAGTCACAGATGAGTGGTGAGTTGAGCCATCCTGACAGCACAAAAATAATAAAAAATGTGCTACACCATAGTGCAATAAATAGAAAGGATTTGTTGAAACACTGGAGTAGTTCAGATATCCAAACAAAACTTAGAATTTTTATAACTTCTTGATCATTTTTATGACTGGGTGGAGGATAAATAGGCTAAGATTTTTTGTAATGTAAATGGTTTTGTGTGTGTGTGTTTTGCAAAAAAGGCATCTAGAATCAGTTATTTGAAAAATTCTACAATAAATTGTTTTGAGCTATATTTACTCCTAATAGTGTTATTCTCATTTATTCATTATAATTGATAAAAGCTTATGAGTATAAGTATGAGAAGTGTGTCTGCAGAAAAATCTCTCATAAACTTCTTTGAAGATACTTTTTGTAACTAGATGTCCTCTTTGACTCTAACACTGAAGGCATCAGGGAACAACATTATTTCTCTACTTTAACAGTCTCCTCAAACATTGAGTATTTCTGAAAAATAAAAAACAATATTTACAAATTCTGGATGACACTATATAAACTGCACAAAATTTAAGATTTCTTAGGAGATTTAAAATTTGATAATTTATATGAAAATCATTTTAAAAACTGATTATAAATCTCAAATACAGCATCTTGTGATAATATTCATGGGAATTTTGTAAAAAATAATATATAAAGCTTTTTAATCTCAATGTTATCATGTAATTTGGAGTATTTTAATTTCTGTAAAGAAAGTTGCTTTAAATTCAGATTTTATAAAATATTAAGATTGGAGATACTGAAACTACTTTTGACATTTCTTAAGATGTAGTATATTCAATGCTTATATCAATCGTGTCAAATACAAACTTGAAGACAGTGTTTGAAATATTTTAATGCTGAACGGAACATCATCTAACATTTATTCTTCAATATTTTAAAGTTTTCACCTTTTTTTATATATAAAATGGATTACTTAAGTTAATAATTAAGTTTTTGAAGGGCAAATTATGAAATTGTGTTTTTCTTTTTTTAAGTGGTTTCTGCATAGATTTTTGGAATGACTGTTGCATATTTGATATTTGGTCAAAACAGTTTTGCATATTTTAAGTTTTTTAAAATCATGTTTAGTATTTAAATATTTTTTTATATGTGAAATAACTTTTTTTTCTAAAATGATATTCACTATTTTAAAGATTTAAAAAAACTTTTGAATGGGTTCATTTGACAAACTATGGAGACATAAATAAATAAAAATAAATGAATAAACAGGTGTCCAGTGTTAATGGAACCAACAAAGCTAACTTCCTGGAATCAAATTTGGTACCAGTCACGATACCAGGATGAGCAATACAACAAATGCAGAAGGATATATACCTGAGTATGCAAAAATGTTTGATAAAGTATGACACAAAGAACTGTTGGAACTGTATGATAAGCTTGATTTATTTGGGAAAGATAACAGAATATTCCAAAAATTACAATAGGCTGAAACTACTTTGTGTATATATATATATATATATATATATATATATATATATAAAATGAATTCAGTCAATATACAAAAATAGAAAGGGGCATTAAGACAAAGATGTCTTTTCTCACCAAACTTATTCAACTTTTATACTGAAACAATCCTTAGAGAATTAGAAGTCCTAACAGGATTCATTTATGGCAGCCACTATCTTAATAAAATTAGAAATTCAGGTGATGCAGTGTTGATAACAGACACAGAAAGGAAACTACAATAATTCATGCTGAAGCTAGTAAAGGAAAGCAAGAAGAAAGGACTAAACATCAATTTTAAGAAGATATAATGCATGGTTGTCAGCAAAAGAAACAGCCCAACATGAAAATTACAAATTGGAGATACCAAAATCCAACAAATACAAAAATTTAAATATCTAAGTATTTTAACAGAGAATAAAAAATGTGACACTGAAATCTGAAGCATGTTGGAATAGCAAAGGTTGCCTTCCAAAAGCTAAGCAAAGTATTAAGAAACAGGAAAATGTTGTTACAAATAAAACTCCTCCTATATGTTAGTGAATGCTGGACAGTCTCATCAAAGATGATGAAGAGACTTGAAGCAACAGAAATGTGATTCTACAGATGGTTGTTGAGAATTCTATGGACTGAACATGTGAATAATGAGGAGGTTATTTGGAAAATAGTAACAAGAAGGGCATGTATATTTAGAATCAGGAAGAGACAATTGAAATTTTTATGGCACATGATGAGGAAAGATGATTTGGAGAAGTTAACACTTAGAGGACAGATGGACGGTAAGAGGGATAGAGGAGATCAGCAAATAACCTACCTAATGAGCTTGTGTGTATAGTTGGCAGAACAGAGATTAGGAGAGATAGGAAAATGACAAGAACTACAAAAGACAAGTTATCGTGTAAAGCCCAGATTGCACATATCTTGAAGGGATATGGCATATAGAAGAACATTTGGGTGGAGCAAAATACCAAACTTTGATGTCAGCTTATTGTACTTTATTTCTAATGAGCTGATTACAAGTTCCATTTCATTTATATCAGCGTCATATAATCTTAATTGTTTCATTATATGATACTGATTTGTTGTACTGGTTATAAAATCACTTGCTTTTTATATTCATGATTATATAATTTATCAAGCACAGCAAAATTATATCAATATATTTATATAATATTCTTCTTTTCCTTACAGTTATATTCTCCATTCATGTTCAGAGGAAATGATAAATATCAAAGACCCAACATACAGTAAAATTAGTTTAACTTGATAATTTCCTGCTTTTAAGTATTCATTATACAGTGAGTGTAAAATTGCCAGGAGGATGTAAGGTAACACATTTGCTTGCACTATAGCAATCAGCAACACCAACAATTCTTCAATATATATCTACGCATTTGGTATATAATTTAGTATATACTAAAAATAATTTGATAGTATTTGTTTCAAACTAGTAACTTAAGAAAATATGTTGAATTTTGTTTTCCTTACCATTGTCATCTGGTTTACTTGCTGAAGGACATTCAGTACTTGATTCTTCAACATCTTCCACATCACAAATTGAAGGTAAGTGTTTGGCAGGTGATGCTGTGCGCCGTGGAAGTGTTCCTTCATCTGTGACACAGATCCAGGCGGAATTACGTGTGCTTTCTGCATAGATACCTGTAAAAAAAGAAAAAGAATATAATTAAATATTTCTCATATTCAAAATTTTGTTCAGTATTATGAGAAAAAGGCAATATTAAATAAAGCAACTTGATAGCATGAACCAATGACTAAAATAAGAGCAAATATATAAGAGAGTGTTGAAATGTTCTTAGACTGGTTCTCTTTTCAAAACTAGTATTTTGATATTTGGTCATTGAAGTAGTGATTTTGGGAAGTGGGTTAGCTCAAGAAGTTTTCAGCACCTCATTGTGTGTATGCCTAAACATATAATAAACAATAACAGGAATAATATAGAACACAGAGTAGGATCATTGCTACACCAACTATCATCACCATCAGTAACTGTGGTCATGGGGTTTTCAGAAGTTAACTCACCTAAACCAACCCAACTGTGTGATGGTGTTATCTTGCCTTGTGAAGTCAATAAACATGTACAAAATAGCATCACTAATTAAGTAAAATATAGAATGTAAAAAATAAAATAGTACATTATTTAATGTATTTAACAAGAAAACTGGGTTAAGAAAAAATACAGAGACTTTAATTATAATGATTTTCTAAGTACAGCTTATATGTGGCACAAGACAGAAAGTGTAGGGCATCCAGTGAACATCAAACTACTCAGTTGAAATTGTTCTAAGGAGACAAGCTTGCTAATCATTAGACCATGTTGAGGTGCCCAAAAGTAATTTTCTAAGCATAGCTTAGATGTGGCATTAGGCTGAAAGTAAGGAGCACCCAGTGAAGATTGAACTCACTATTCAGTTGTAATTGATCTTGCAAGAAAAACTTGCTAAACATTACACCATGATGAAGTAACATAAATGGTTTTCTAAGCATAGCTTAGACGTGATACAAGGCCAAAAGTGTGGAGCACTCAGTGGGGATCAAACTCACTACTCATTTATAACTGAACTTGTGAGACAAGCTTGCTAGACATTACACCACAACAAAATTCCCTGAGTGGTTTTCTAAGCGTAGCTTAGATGTGGTAAAAGACTGAAAATCTGGAGCAGCCAGTGAAGATAAAACTCTCCACTCAGTCATAATTGATCTAGCGAGACAAGCTTGCTAACCATTACACCATGTTGAAGTGCCACAGAGACTGTAATTATGCCTGCCCAAAGATTTACTTCAACTTGTGCTGCACTACAAATTCTTCAATGTGTCTGAAAAATTAATTTCATATATACTAAATTGTTGGTTTCAATCCCACTAGAAATGACAGCAAAACACTTGCCCTCCCCATTTTACAGACAGAAGCTTACAAATGCATTCTGAAATTTTTCCTAGCCACCAAAATAGGCTAATTTTCAGTTTCATCTGACTTAGTCCCGGTCTGTCTTGTCTTGAAATCAGAATGCTACATTCGTTTGTTCAAACTTGCTTTTGTGTGTCAACTCCAATTCCGGTTTGTGAACTTTTTGCCTTAATACTGTTAATTTGCCTTGCATATATTATTTGCTTGCTTTATATTATTTTTTGCCCTGTTCTTTTATTTTCTTTTTCTTGTTATTGCTTATTGCAAAATTTGTCAATTCTGTTTGTTGAACAGTTCTGTTACTTATTTTGCATTTAACTATAGATATTCACTCTACATAAATATATGTTAAATCTGGGGTAGTGTAGGAATTTCATTAATTTTATAGAGAAGCAATTAAATAAGTAATTGATACTGCTTTATTTCTGGGATTATAATCCAGTTAATTTTTCAGACTAACATCTTTTATTTTTATTGTATTTATTATATAGATTTGGTCAGTGTATCCAGGTTTATGTCACCCCAGTAACCATTTGTCTGGCATGTTTAGTTTAAAAAGAACAAACATGAAACAACATTCTCTACTGGATGTAATAATGTTTTCTATTGAGAATTCCCATGGAAGACTAGAGAGGAAAGCAACCAAAATGTTATGAAAAACAGAATAAGAATGAGAATGATAGGCAAAAAATCTGTGGATGATATTGCCCTACAAAATCAATAATTGCGTAAAGATTTATATGGACATCATACTTGTTATTTCAGATACATGTCAAGTGAGAGGGCAATGACAAGAAGTCTCTCTATATGAAAGAGATGGTGGGGAGGAATAAATCATTGCTTTCACTGCTTTCATTATTATCTACAAATTGCTTTGAATCACTATCCAAATCACTGCTAGGGAAAGAAGACCCAGAACAAAGAATTTCTCATGAGATATCTTGTCAGTAAATTCCAAGTAGTTAAAAGGAGAATAAATACAAACAAATGAGTATGAAGAGTGATGCTGAATAAAAACTGATGATAAATATAATAGCTCTATTCTGTTAATAATGTTTCCCTTGATTCTTTAACACTGTAAATCTCTTCTTGATTTTCAATGCACATCCTACAGACTGAATGCCAAAACTTGTTAAAATTCATTATTAATCATTATTTTTTCTTTACTACCAGAAATACTTAATTTTTTTTTCATGCAGAAAATGATGATAGTTAAGCAAGAGGCATAGTGGAGTAACAGTAAAGTCAGTTAACAGCAATAAGAAAAGCCCAAATTTTGTTTAAGTATACCAGGTTCAAATGTAACCAATGCTAAAGAAAGCCATTATTGTTTCAATTTTTATTAGAAGTTACTATGCCATTATCTATTTAATCATTAGAATAAAAAAAAAATAACCTATTTGTTTAACATTTTCTACCCAGAATATCACAGATTCTATATACTCTGAGTTACAGATAAGCCTACAACATTTTTTAAACTGGCTCTTGATCATAAAATTGTTGCTGCATTCATTCTTGTGTCAGAGAGAATCACATTTCTTATGTAGACTATCTAGTTTATTATAACTGATTAACATTATAAAGGGAAATGTTAATCACCTGCTTTAAGTTAATATAGAAATTTGATCAGGAATAAGATATCATAGTAATATTTAAAAGTTTATTAGGTTGAAAAATGTAAAACTTGTGAGCTAATTTTACATATTTATTCCCAGCAGAAAGAATCAAACTTAAGATACACTTGCTGGATTGGAAGAAACATAAAATTGTCACATTTATTAAATTCTAAATTTCAGCCAGATTATAAAAAAAGAAAAAATTAGGGTTATATCAGTTTAAACTATTTCACAGTGTTCTTAACAGACCAAACATTCCTTTCTCTTCATTGTTAAATATATGATAAAAATTGCTAGAACTACTGTTTCTTATAACTCGTCTTTCACTTTTCCATGAAGTAATCATTTTAAAAATGTTATCATTATGATATACACAACTAAGCCAAATCATTTCACATAATTCAACAGTTAACAAATAATCATTTTTGCTTGCCTAGAGGAAAGGATCATTTTTTCATATAATTGTTAGCCTTTATAGTAAATATATATATATAATCAAATTCAAATGTTTGATTATTTTCTTTTAAACTTGAACCCTTTGATTTAGTTTTAAGTATTTGTTTCTTACTTTTCCTATAGTGTGAAGACTATAGGTGATTTAAACAATTTCATCTTTAAGAAAATGGAATTCCTTTTCCAAATTTTCAGTTTCATTTTGTTAAACTGAACACTGATTTGACTTTGTCACTTTTTTAGTCATTTTGAGGATTTGAAAAATATCAAACATTCTATTTGGAAATTGTTATAAAATAAAATGACAAATCTCGGCTGATTTACAGGCAAATACTCAAGAGCGAGAACCGGATGTGAACAGGACAAAGCCCCGTCACAAAATGACCATTAACTTTCTTTACAAATATTTCCGACACATGTGTTCCGGTCGAAAAATAAAATAATAATTAAAGTGCTCTATTTTTCGTCCAATAAAAATGCTTCCCTCCTAATTATACTTGCCTGTTAAGCCATAAAAAAAAAGCTATAAAAGGGGTCACAGGGAAGTTCAGCAGCAGTCAACAGGTGGCCACAAAGGAGACCGGTCATGTTTAGCAGCTGTCAGCAGGAGAGCGACAACCAACGTCAACATGTGTGAACTACTATGAGAGATCGACCAGATCCGAAAGCCGGCTTATGAACTTTACCACACCAAGGTAGCTGTCCTAAACCCTTACGGTCCTGTTGAAATAAACCATGTAAATCTATTTCTACTGTTGTCGTATTTCTTTCTTGCAACCATACGCTTGTCTATAACAAAATCAACCAAAGAAATCATTTTTAGGACATGATATTGGTCTTCATAGATATTATAAAACCTTGAATAGAATTAAGCAATTAAATTAAAATTCAATGACTAAAAAGTTAATCTAAATTTTAAATACAAGTTGAGATGATTCAATTTTCTGACTTTCAAATGAAAAGGAAAACTGTTTAGCTTTTTATCCACTATACAAATCAAATTCTAATTTTTTCTAATAAGAGAAGGAAGTAAATCAGTTATTATACATATAATAAACTTATCAATCACATTGATATTAATTTATAATCACTGTACATTGTGCTCTGAAAATAAGGAAGAAAGGGAAGGTCAGAGTAAGTGCTAAGATTTACCTAGACTAATTTTCCTCAATAATAAATTTAGCAGGAACAGTAATGAAAGCCAAAAGCTTTTTGATACCAAGTTTATGCAATTCATTCTAAAAATCACTGTGATTGTTTCATTTTCCCCCTACACACAAAATTTACTGTGTCATTATATGTGCAGTCATTAGAGGGAACAAATATTTTTATGCTTACAGCCATATCAGATTGAAACACTCGTTCCCATACAATCACCAAAGTTAAGCAATGTTGAACTTAGTCAGTACCTAGATGGGTGACTGCTTTGGAATACCAGGTGCTATAAGCTGTGTGGGTGGTGTAATGGATAATGGTTCAGAATTGTTAATCAGAGACACAAATTCCAATTCCAGTTGGGTTCATTATATTCACTTATGTCCAAATACTCTTGGGAAAGTTATGAATCTATCTCTTCCCCACCAGCTATGGGTTAATATGGGAAGACTTGTATCACTAAAATCATTATTATTTCCAAATGCAAAAACTTAAAATTTAAAAATATT